GAAATTCCCATGCTCAAAAAAACTAGATTAAAGTATTTTTTAAAGGGGTGCCACATTAGGTAAGTGATGCTGAAGGAAAGTTTCCCTCATGGTTTTAAATGTTTGTAGACCAGGTGTAATAGTCAAGGATGTCGCCAGCTTTAAAAAAGAATCAGGAGAGATATTCTCCGTTGTAAGGCATTATTTTCATAGATTGAATTATATGCAATATAGAACCACCTTTGGCGACACAAAAGTACCTAATGCCAATACTCTTTGTGCTACTGAAAGATTTGCAAGAACTGAAAAACCGGTTTACTCCAGGGAAGATACGATTGCTGAAATAATGATTGTGTAATCATGTCGATTCTACATACAAATACGGACCATTCCGAAATCCGTGAAGGTTATGGATTTTTCATGCAATGACCACCATCTGAGAGTGATGGATAAAAACTAAACATCACATAGTTGGAGAAAGAGAAACCTGATGAAGAAGGCGGAGTGTGCGGGATAAATCTAATCGCTACAAATGACACTTTCCAAGAAACGAAACTAACAGTCAACTATAGGCAGAAATCAGATAGAATATCTGCGCAACTGATGGATTCATCTCGCTTCAAAGAGTTTACCTAAAAAATCAGCCCGCGTACCAGAATCGCATGCATACAAAGATACCAATTGATATCTGTTTGCAATCGAATAACCATCCCATATAGTGCGGACATTTTCTGTGAATTTAGTTGCAAAAATAGATCGAAAGTTTTGAGCAGCGAATGTGGGCTAGACTCAAGATAAAGCAGTACATGGAAACAACGTGAATTTTTGTTTAAGTTCTAGCACTTCGTGCACGCGCTTTCAACGAAACCACTCTATGCAATATTGACCGACAAAAATAAAACGAGAGACTCCACGCAACGTACGTATCAACTGCAGCATGAATTATAAATTTGGGAATAAATTTTCACCCCATCAGTCAGCTAGAATCCGGACAAAATGAAGAAGTAGCAAGGAGTTTTCCTGTGCTAGATTGGATCACTCGGTCATGTGGATCAATAGGATATACTTGCAGATAGTTCGGTGTGTGTGATGGATGACTGGGTGTTGTGAGACGATAGGTTGTTTTCAACCGCCAAAGCAAGTGTGTGTGTGTGTGTGAGAATCTCCCTCACAAATATTGTTAATTAGAGCAGACAGTGTGTGGAGAAATAGATAGATGCCTGCAGTCCGTTTTATACATCTATCGATCAGATGAAAACAGGGTAAATATCCATTAGGAAAATTGAAACCATGAGATCAAAATACAGTTAATTCTCCAAATGTTCAGCTGATCAAAATTAAACACGAAGGTAGGGCTTCTTGCAAGAATATCAGAAATGTTTGGTTACATCGACGATACTCAAATCAGTTTTTTTCGTGAATTATTACCACAATGATTCCAGTCTATACGGTAGTTCTTCCCACGTATCCCAATTGCAATTATACTTGAGAATTACAGCCGGCGGAAAATTTCACACACACACACATGAGTAGCATTTGCATAGTTAAATCCACCTCCTCCAAAATAATAGTACCCTGATTTTAAAAAATGGTGTGAAATACTGTCTTGTTGTACATACCCTGTTGCACAGTATCGGCAGGGTACATCAGCAGAGGATTGAATCAGGTCCTATTAGAGACAAATACAACCCTTAATTCAAGAATTAGGAAAAGAAAAAAAATTAAATTGAACTGATTCTGTTCCTCTCGACATAAACTATCTTTTCGACTAGTAGCACACGGAAAACACCCTGCTGCAATCTCAATGCGTCAAGCATTAACATTGTTCAGGTTGTGTGTAGCCAGTGGTTAACGCAACATGTGTGGCGATAAACTTGAGCACTAAGTGTTTGATCTCTTGGTCAAACAGCAATTTTATTCAAGTCAACCACATACCAAAAGACTGATCATACGTACACAAACCCATCGGAGTCTTGTAGTCAACCTATGAGCACCGTGAACTTGAGATTGGCCAATTAAACAACCTGACAACGGCCTTTCAAGAAAGTCAACGGATTATTGCTAACACCCCTTGCTTTTAATTTTGCTTGTCTAGGCTAGAACAGGCTAATTTCGTTAATCATCGTGTGTGAATAAACGCTCGCCAGTTCCACTCCGATTAGACCCCATTCGTGAATCTCATGTGCGTACAAAACTGTTCTATCCAATCGATCGGATTGCGATCAAAATTAGGAACAGCGCTTTCACACAAAAAGTGACAATGAGCACCTCATTATTGTCCACCAAAAATCCATCATTAGACATTTGTTGATGGCTGCAAATAAGCATCTGAGATGGAAGGGGACTGAGTCTAGAGTAAAAAAAGAGTATGAATCACAAGAAATAAGTCACAAAATAGACCGTTGGACACTCGTGCTGTCCCTGTTGCTACCATACACTTCGGTGTGCTGAATCAACCGACTAAAGTGTTGTTGGTTCACCTTTCGAAAGATAACTGATATTCACTTTACCTAATCTCTCTGTATGCTGTGTATCATATCTTTTGTTCGTGTCATTTGTTCACCTCCAAATTGCTTTCCTTACCCTGATACAGAATCTATAAAAACGGTTCGATGCGGTGAACGACTGATAATTACGTACATGCTATTAGTGTCCTAACGAGCAAATCTCAGACATAAATTCGTTGTACAGATGAACTCGCTGTAAATGCAGACATAACCAAATGACAGTATACCTCAGTACCACTGATTCACTCTCTTCATTCGACCTGCTCAAAACTACATAGCCCTTCAGCCTCAAAAACCTCTGTTCGCTGAATGTACTCCACATGCAAAATCAAGATCTTACAACTGACGCCGTGACACTTTCAAAGGAATATAATTTTGACACTAAATGTGCTTCGACTCAGCGTACGGTGCAAAGTCTTGATCACCGCTTTCTTCGGACAACCACCATTGGTTATCCAACCGCTTAGGTAGCACAAATAAACAACAAAAACAGCAGACCATTAAGCTCCGGAATAATTAGTAAACACCCAGGTTTGCGTCATTAATCTGCTCCTTGAAGAAACGACTAAGCTCAATATTTCGTCATGTGCGTTTTTGTATATGCTCAGTGCATTTGAGCACTATATAGAACACGAGTACTTCTGAGAACGCTCAAGATGTTCTCTGATCGATCGATAATTCGCATTTAACTCACAATTACTTGTAAGTATTGGATGAACTGAGGATTGTGCGTAAAGGTGAAGTTCAGAGTCACTTCAAATCAACATCAATTGTCCCATATCACTACTCACAAGTAAATGTGAGTTAAACTCCAGTATACTATCTGCGAAATCCACTTCACAAGTAAATGTGATTTAAATGTGAAAAAATATTCGCGATTCAATCCCACAAAACTATTCAAGAGTTTGATACTCATTAAAACGCTCACGCCTCGTGGCAAATAAATGCAAGTTTTTCAGGTCTCGAATCAACATATTCGTGGTTGTGTTACAAACACGCATCCTCAAGGACCTATCGGGATGACATCTGCTCATGTGTTCACGTCAGTGATAATTTGTGATTACCGGAATCCATCGCCGTTTGATGAAATCCGTCACGTTTGATAGCTGTGACAGGTAAGCATAAATGTCACTTGATTTCAATGTGACACAAGCTACAAATTCCAGATCGAATAACCAAATTCATTAAATCGTCCAATTCCCAGAAGCTTCTGTCAGGGTTCCAATCCCAGACGATTCGTTGGATATTCATGACTAGATGTTTGTAATGAGCTAGGTGAACTAAGTACTGTAGGGCTTAGGACATATGCACTGTTTTTCATTGGCCTAACAACGAAGAATATGCAACGATACTACTGATAACGAGCGTCATAAAGTAGTTGTTTATTGCTTCCGAGGTACTTCGATAGTATGTGGTGAGCTGTCAGTTCGAGAGAATTAAACATGTGATACGGTTTACCTTTAGTATTTACATGCAGTGAAGCATATGAGACACTAGACCCCATAGTCTTTTTATACGGAGAATTTCAGCAACATAAAGTGAATGTCTTTCAGTTTTCCTTTTTTGTGGAGTTCTGCTTTTCTCATGATTGATGGAGATTCACTATTGTAAAGCAATAAGTTTAAAATTAAATTTATACGCTCATTTACTTATGTATCCCAACCTGAAAATTTAACAGATGTCGGAAACCTCGGCAGTCATAATACTGCACTCTTCATTTCCTCCCGCTTGGAAGATCAAAAACGTATTCAGTTTGAGCCTCAGTACGACTAAGTAAGCTACTCATGTACCCTAGTGATATGCCTAAAGGTAGTCACTCAATCACCCTTTATCGCAAATATGGGGAAAATATGCAGTGTTGAGGAAAGATAAACTAGCGCAGCACTATCAATGGAAAAGAAATCAGTCAGGGAACGCCCCATCTCGAAAATGCACTCAGGACAAACTTATATATTCAGTGCGTTACCAGGCACAATCAACTGTGATTTACGTGCGAAAAAAATGTCGGTGCTCAATTTAAGGAGTTCAGTATTTGTTTTGGCTTATTGTGATAGCCCATCTAACGAGGAAGTATCAAGAAATTATCGGGTACACACGTGTTCTCTGCAGCTGTGGAAATGGGAGTATTCGACGGGAAACCAGAACACCTCGCTTGAAAGGCTGTTTCACAGCTTCTTCGATGAGTCTTTTATTAGGAATCTGTGTTTTTCTCTGTGTAACAGGTTGGAGTTCCCAATGGGTAGACTGGTAAAAAATATTTACCGGTGTAGCAAATACCTTACTTTTGATTTAGAACATTCAGGGACCTAGTGAAGCCGTTTGATCTCCTGATCAATGGTCACGTGAGCAATACACATATTTCTTGCCTGTGAACTGCTTCTTTGGTTCGATGCTCACTTCGGTCGATAACATTATTGCAGACTATCACTGATACATTCTAATGGATTATTCTCCGTAATCGAAATGAAGAACTCTGCTAAAAATGGCCCAATGGCGTAACCCATAGACTTATTTTCACAACCCTATACCCAACAACTTTTGAAGGTATTCAATGAATTTTTTCGACTATCGATAGTTTCAAGAATCTGCTCACTATAAGTATTGCATAATCAACTCAGATCTACCTTAGAGGTGTCCAAAAGCATTGGCTACCCAGGACATTTTATTCGATGAAATATGGTGGAACAAGAACCAAAGACAGAGTTGAAAAGAAGGACGTAATCATAAATCTTCCTTTCAAGAGTGAGGTTGTCACAGAAGGACAGGACGAAGCAGTAAAATTCGCGCACAACGACTTGCATCTGCTTTTCTCTTTCAAATATTATTCACTAATAATAGCGTAAAATAAGGACGAACAATCGATGAATCTGTGATGCACCCGTGGTTGACCTTATGACACTGCTGTTTTCTATCCATATGAAAAACACCTCGCTAACTGAACCAAGGGAGGTATTCCGCATTGATGTGAAGAACGGTTCAATGGTACACACCGATCGTCGTGGTAACTCACAAGAGGAATTCACAATTACTTATCAGATTTCCATGATCCGACCTTTATACGCTAGGATGTACATTTTATATCATAGCGATATTGCACATTTGACTCTGATCCAAAGGAGCTTAATGCAATTGGGTTCGCGAATCCACCCCTCTT